CCGCCCCGCCCCCCGCCCCGCCTTCTTGCAAACCGGAGAGGCCTAGAAAGCGATGTGGGGTCGGATCTGCAGCTGAGGCGTCAACTTGGGTCTAGATTTGGGATTGACGTCTCAACTTAATTGTATATCCAATGAACCTTTTTTATTGGTCGTACCTAACCTCAAATAGTATTTTTTCCTAGCACTAGACTAGAACAAAACAGGAAGAAGCCCCGCCCCGCCTTCTTGCAAACCGGAGAGGCCTAGAAAGCGATGTGGGGTCGGATCTGCAGCTGAGGCGTCAACTTGGGTCTAGATTTGGGATTGACGTCTCAACTTAATTGTATATCCAATGAACCTTTTTTATTGGTCGTACCTAACCTCAAATAGTATTTTTTCCTAGCACTAGACTAGAACAAAACAGGAAGAAGTTTCCTAACACAGGTTCCCTACCTGGCCAGATGCAGGAGGAAGCATGGAACTGAGCAAACGGAAGCCAGGCTTCTTTCCTTCTCAGTAGCCCATAAGCCAACCTTCTGTCTTTCCTGGCACACTTCTCAGTGCTCTCTTGGAGTCTTAACGGGAAAGCACGCAAAGTACACCTTCACGATGCTGGAAAACACCAGCGGGACGTCCTGGCACAATTCCCCTTCTTTTGAACTGACTTTCTTTCTTGTTTTGTTTTAGTTTGCCTGAGTGGGTACATAGCCCACAAGTGAGCTGGCCTTGAACTCACAAAAGTCCTCCCGCCTCAGCCTCCCAAGTGCCGGGATGACAAGTGTGCACCACCTCAGCCAGCTTGAAATGACTTTCTACATAAGAAAGAGCATTCACCCTATGCTCTTCATAAATTCTAAATTGTTTCTCCCACTCCCTTTAACTATGGACAGAAAAAGGGAATTGGTCTTCAAGGCTTGTTCTTCTAGGTCCTAATTAAGAAAGGCAAATGAAACATAAAGCCAGAGAGCTGAAAATAGTGTCCTGGAAAGGGCAGCCTCCGGTCTGTCAATATACACAGAGCAAGCTCCCACACCCACCATAACACACCCAGCAGAGGCTTCTGAGAGGATGGAGCAGAGAACTGAAGGGGGGGGTGACTTTCCTGATTTGTGAACAACTTCCCCAAGGAACAGGGAAACAGCGTGAGGGTCAGCCCAGCATCAGCCTTGGGGGGCAGGGGTCCTTCAGTGGCCTGCCTCTGTTTTTCTCGGCAAAGACTGAGAAATCAGGGAAAATGGCGACAGTTCCCAGCCCAGGGAAAGAAGTCAATTGCCAGGAGTCCCTTCTGGGTTTCCAGTCATTTTGGTTGGTCCATTTTTCAGGAGAGTCAACCGAGTAAGAGAGGTAAGTGGCCATCGGTCAGATGGGTTATTTTTCTGACAGGACCAGAGGTTAACCAGGCCTGTCTCACCCCACACTATGCGCCCCAAAGAAGTGAACAAGGAGGCTCTGGAGCTGCATGGTGTGGTCACGGCCAGCCCCCACGGCTCTCAAACTTTTGGAATGTGGCTGTGCTAGATACATTGGAAGTGTACTATATGTTGAAGACTTAGTGAACAAGTACACGGTAACTCATTGATAATGTGGTATTGACTGCATGCTCACATAGTATTTTGGACATAGGTTAAATAAAATGCTTTATTAAAAGGAATGTTACTTTTACGGGCCAGGGATTTAGCTTGGTGGAACCACACCTGCCCCACAAGTGCAAGGTCCTGAGCTCCATCCCCCGGTACCTAAAAAAAAAAAGTAATGTTACCTTTTTAATGGGTACTGGAGATTTGGGAGTCATATAGGTGGCTTGCGTTATGTGAGACACCTTTGGAGTCTGGACTTCCAGATGTATTCACGTACTGCGTGTGCATGCATAACTCTCTCCGTGCTGTTGTCCATGCATAAAATAGTCGACATCCTCCTTCTACAAGTATCTGATCTTGTGCTTTGAGAATCAGTTAAGCTGCTCTTGAGTGATCGTGTTCTGTGGCCCAAATACCCACATGTGAGAGAGGCTGCTTTTGTTTACCTAGCGGATCCCTTTACTCACTGATATGTGTTACACTGGCCTGCCTCACCTCCCTACCTGAGGGAGGAGCTGCCCGAGGGCCGGGAGGTTACCTAACTAGTTATTTGTCACTCTCATGCATTCTGCTGTGATGTTTTCCTCTGCATTCCATCAGGGAAGCCAGTCATATCTGATGACTAGCTGCCTCACCCAAGTGTGCCACCAACTTTCACCCTTTCTGAAAAAAATACCAGTTATCTGGCATTTCTCACTTTCCAGGGATCTCAAACCAGGAGCAAAGCTCCCTTTCTTCATAAAGTCAATATTTTTAATGTAGGGCAGCTTTGCTCTGAGCGCAGAGGAATGAGGGGATGAGCTTGGGGTGGTGGCAGGGAAGGTGTCTTGGAGGAATTAGGTTCTGAAGCCACATTTCCCCCTTAGAGAAATTCCCCCAACGTTCCCTGAGGGCTGGGGCCCAGCCCTGTCCTTACCTCCCAGGGCTCCCTGTCCCATGGTCTGGAAGAGCATCCTGAGGCAGAGGCCCATATTCACTCAGCCGGAGGGCGTTGGGAGCTGCTCCCCTCCTCCCGAGACCCCACCTCTGCCCTCAGACTGGTACTGCCAATCTGGAGGCTCCTGCATGAAGGAGGAAGTGCAGACATTTTCCTGCCTGCCACTGTCTCCCCATTACTGAGAGGAGTTCATTGAAATTCATTTTCCATGAATGTTTAATATGTCAATTAATATGATTAGGCGTAAGCCCGAATGAGCAGCAGGGTGGCAGTTCTGCTGAGAAGGCACAGAGTAATGAGATCAAGCAGGCTGTGGGCTCTTCCCTTCTCCATCCTCAGAGGGCACGATCTGTTTAGCATCTCCATAAACACAGAGATCAGATTAGAAAGCAAGAAAGGAGTGGGGGGATGAGGCAGGACAGCAGAAAGTTACTGGAGAATAGGTGTGCACTTTCGGATTCTCTGGTAGCGCCAGTTTCACCTTCCGAACACCCACCATGAAATCCTCCACTTTCCTCTCCTCGCCATCTTAGGGGACCTATCAGGAGGACCTGGGCATCTACGAGATGCAGTGCTCCGAGGTCTACACACACACCTGCCAGGGTGCAGCTCCAGGCCGCAGAAACCCTGGCTGAGGAGTGACGGCAGGTGGTCAACAGAAGCAAGCAGTAGGAAGAACGGCTATGTCTTCCTCAGGCTTAACTAAGCTGGAAGGGGAAGATAGGCTGGGCTTAGCCGCTGTCCCGTGTCCAAGAGGAATGTTTGACGTGGGAGTTCCGTGTGTGGACTGGCAGCCAGCCTGCCAGGCTCCAGGCACAGCCAGACTTCTCTCTAGCTTCGTGGCCTCAGGCAAGTTTTTATTTGCTCTGCACCTTGGTTTCTTCATCTCTCCTTGGAGGCAGTGAGAGAGGCTGGAATGAGTTGGAGAGTGTAGCACATTTGGAGCAATGCCTGGGACACTGTAAGTGCACATAAGCGCCGACTGTGACTATTACTTCACTTCCAGAGCAGGAGGCCACCTGCCGTGATGGCTCAGGATTGGAGCCTGCTGGGATTCAGCTGGGACACATTTCAGAGACACCACGACGCTGACACCGAGGAGACATCAGCTCCTCCCAGGGTGAAGAAGGGGATGAGGAGAGCCAGGGTGTTCTACACAAGCGCCTGGCGCTGCCTGGGGTGAGGTGGGCGGGCGGGGCGGGGCGCCCCCACGGGGGTCAGGCTCCCTCCAGCTCTCGGAGCTCACGGGTCACATGCCAGGAGGGTGGCTCTGGGGAGTGACGGCCCCAAATGTGCTTCCCCGCCCACCCCTCCTGCCAGACTCAATTAGAGCAAGTCCCACGCAGGGACCCCAACTGGAGGGAGAGCACAGGAAGAAGTAATTGGTTTCTCCGCCCTGAGGAGGCTTGGCAGCTGCGTGTCTCCCGCTGGAGGCATCAGGACCGTGTTCCCGGCAGAAGTCCTAGCGCGGAGTATTCGTTAAGCACCTACTGCCCCGAGCAGACGCGGCGCTAGGCAGTGCGAGCCGGGAAAGGCTGAACTGAGCCGCGTGCTGGTCTTACTGCGAGAGCGGCGCCGCGCTGCCTCCCGGCCCACTCCGTGTACACACAAACCCCCCAGAGGGAGAGAAGGGGCTGTCGGCAAATGCCAGAAACCTGTAGTCTTTTTTGCTTCCTTCTCTGGAAAACACGTAATTCCCTTCCCGCTGCCGTCTCGGCCTGCTCTCCCCTTCCCGCCTCCCTTCCTGTTTTTTCTCTCTGGGTCTCCGCTCTTTTCCCTCCAGACTTTGCTACCTGCTTCCCTCCCCACCTACACCTCTCTCTGTCCCCCTCGACCTGCCCGGCTGTCCTATCTCTTTTTTTCCCCTCGACTCCCCACTCGGGGCTCCCACAGGCCAGCACCCCTCTCCTCCCCACCCCAGGCCCCATCTCCTGGGTCTTCTCTTCCAGCACCGGGGACAGCTCCAGCCCCCGGAACAATGGACCCCACCTTAGGGCTCCTCTATAAATTCTCCGTCTTAGTGCCTTGCCTAACTCCTGATCGGAGAGTCAGATGGGGGAAGGGTCGCTATCAACAGGACCAGCTGCTCTTCGGGGGGCGGGAAGGGAGCCAAGAGGATGGCGATAGGAAGAGGGCGTGGCTCTTGCCCGGCTTGTGCGTCTCTCTGCGGGGTACAGAATTTGCATTCCACCCCTGAGACTGACATCACCGATGTCAGGGGAAAGGAGGTGGGAGTGGGGAGGGGT